CCTCCATGTATTTCATTTAAATCTCACAAAAGTCCCACGAGGTGGGCATTGTTATCCCTCTTTTATAGATCAGGACGCTGAGGCCCAGAGAGATCAGGCACCTGGCCAGGGAGTGTGCCCAGGAGGGGGCAGAGCTGGGACCCCTGCCTGGGTCAGCCTGGCTTTGGAGCCCAATGCTGCAACCACTCTGCCCTCCTGCCCGTGTTGGTGGCAGAGGCAGAACTTGAAGCTAGGGGGCCTGCCTCCTCTCTATTTGGGCCACTGCACAGGGCACCCCTGTCTGGGGCCGGGGAAGTGCTGGCTGCAACTCCTGCCTCATCTCAGACTTCTCCCTGGGTCTGGCCTTGCTCTTTTTCCTCTGTCTCACTCTCTAGGCCAGTGATGGCGAACCTTTTGAGCTCGGCGTGTCAGCATTTTGAAAAACCCTAACTTAATTCTGGTGCCGTGTCACATATAGAAATTTTTTGATATTTGCAACCATAGTAAAACAAAGACTTATATTTTTGATATTTATTTTATATATTTAAATGCCATTTAACAAAGAAAAATCAACCAAAAAAATGAGTTCGCGTGTCACCTCTGACATGCGTGTCATAGGTTCGCCATCACTGCTCTAGGCCGTCCTGGGATGAAAGGGCTCTTAACCAGGCTCAGTTCCCAGCCGGAAGAGCGAAGACGGAGCCAGTGTGAAGAGGAGAATGGAGAAAGGGGACCTTGGCCTTCTGTCCCGACCCGTCCCAAAGGTGGGCTGAGATCCACACCCAGGCCTCTTCATTCCATCCCTGACCACGCCCCTAAAGGCCAACCCCCTGCCTGGTTAAAAAGCAACAAAACCATTACTCAATCTCCAGTGCCCTCAGAGTCAAATCAAATCCCCACGGTCCCGAAGTCTGCGCAGGGAGGAGCTTGCTGACTCACACACTCCTACGAGCCTTGGGGTGGATCATGCTCTTGCGTCAGGCATGTAGCTGCTGAACACCCTCTTGCCAAGTGTGTGATTTTACGACAACTTCCCAAATCTCCGGAGGACAAGGAGAAATGTGTGTTTTCTTTTCCCCTCCGCCCTGCCTTTCTCACCTGGCAAGTTCTTACTCATCTTTCCAGACCCGGCAGCGTGACAGCTCCCCTGGGAGCCCGCCTGACCTTTCAGCTGGGGTCAGGGAGGCAGTTTCCTGCGCAGCCAACCAGATACGCGGAGTAGCAGCAACCACATACTGTGTGTCCCTTAGAGGCCAGGACAACGCTCCTTCCTCTCTCTGTCCCCAGGGCAGGAGAGTAAATACTTGATCTTAAATATTGGAGACTATTACTTGTCCACGGCTGCATAACGAGTTACCCCACAATTCAGTGGCTTAAAGCAGCCTCCTGCACGCCTCCCATTGGGGACCAAGCCAGCAACCCAGGCATGTGCCCTTGACCAGAATCGAACCGGGGACCCTCCAGTTTGCAGGCCGACACTCCATCCACAGAGCCAAACCAGCCAGGGCAGGAGGATTATTTTATATACTATTAAGAAGGAATATGGGGGCGCGGGGTAAGAGACCAACCGAAGGACTTGTATGCACGCATATAAGCATAACCAATGGGCACAGACAGTAGGGGCGTGAGGGCCTGTGCTGGGGGCGGGTGTGGGCAGGGAGAAGTCAATGGAGGAAAAGGAGACATATGTAATACTTTCAACAATAAAGAATTTAAATAAATTAAATAATACCCATTGCCCATTTATCAGGAGATCATTTCAGGGGTTAAAATGCAGGGATGGGGGGATGTGTGCTTTGAAATTAATAAAACACACAGTATCCATTTCCTAAGGTGGTTCTGAGATTTACATGGCTGGTGCCATTGAAGGTTGCAGTGAGGCTTAGAGATACAGAAGGCAGCAAACGGGGCAGGCTGCCCAGATGCTCCTTCTTATTAGTGAGCCATTGAAATTAATCCTCATCTACACACCACAGGCAAGATTTTGTTTCCTTTTTAATCTTTAGTATTTTATTTTATTTTAAAACTAGAAGCACGCTGCACGAAATTCATGCAAGGGGTTCAGCCCTCACAGTCCCAGCTGCCTCACGGCCCCATGGCCCCGCCCACTGGTCATTCTAGAAGGTTGTTCCACCATCTGGTCTAATTAGCATATTAGCTCTTTATTATATAGGATACATTTTTATTGATTTCAGAGAGGAAGGGAGAGGAGAGATAGAAACATCAATGATGAGAATCATTCATTGATTGGCTGCCTCCTGCATGCCCTCTACTGGGGATGGAGCCTGCAACCTGGTCATATGTCCTGATCAGGAATTGAACCATGACCTCCTAGTTCATAGGTCGATGCTCAATCACCGAGCCACACTGGCCAGACAAGATTTTGTTTCAATGATGCCAAGGAGTGAGGCCAAGGGGATCAGGTAGAATCTCCATCCCTGACAAAGGAGAAATTCTGATTACATGAAGGAAGGCACCTTAAAATAGACGCCAAGTGCTGAGGTTGCACAGAAGAGAATGGGAGACCACATCTGGTTTGGGGGTGGGGAGAATACAGGCAGGCTTCCTGGAGGAGGTGGTTTTGGAGTTCAGCCTCAAAAGCATGGAGGACTGGTGCAATAGAGATGGGGGTGGGATCCTGCGGGTGACTAGAGCCTGGGAACTCAGGGTAGTCCTTGGGCTGCAGAAGAACCTAGAAAGACAGACTGAAGCCCACTCTCCAGGGGTTCCAAAGCCAGGAAGAGGAATCTGACTGAACTTGGTAGGCAATGGGGATGGAGTGTGCCCTCTTCTCCAGGAGCCTTACCTTGTGATTGCATTTCACTCTCACACCACTCTGGAGCTTAGCCTCATTTTTTTAAAATTTAATTTTATTTTTAAAATATATTTTTATTGATTTCAGAGAAGAAGGGGGAGGGAGAGAGAGACAGAAACATCAATGATGAGAGAAAATCATTGATCGGCTGTCTCCTACTGGGGATCAAGCCTGCAACCCGGGCATGTGCCCTTGACAGAAATCAATCCTGGGGCCCTTCGGTCTGCAGTCCGATGCTCTATCCATTTTTTGGATGAAATAACAGAAGCTCAGAGAGGTGAAGCAACTTGCCCAAGGACACAGTCAGTAGTGGGCCTTGAGTCCAGCCCCTCAGAGTCAGGCCAGCAAAAAGCCCTCAGCAAATGTGTTCCACCTGCCATAGCTCAGACCTGGGCCTCACACTGATCAGATAGAATTATAAGCCTAATGGTTAAGGTCACTAGAATTTTCCTTGAAGATATCACGCCCAACCAGAAATGAAGTGAGGGGCTGTGCATAGATACATATTTAATTTAAAGCGGTGTATATTTCAACTGATAATTTATCTCTTTGTCTGAGAAACTCTTAAAATACAGTAAGAGAACCAGTTCTGAGCTAGACTCCTGGCCGGACCTCCATAGACTGGTCTCCCCTTTCTGTCCTGCCTTGGCTTCCCCTGCATCCTCCTAGGAACACAGGCAAATTTCTCAAGTTTCTCAGATCTCAAAAATCAGTTGGGGCTTGTTAAACATAAATAAATGAGTAAAAAGATTCCTGGGCCCCACCCTTGACTTACTGGATCGGAATCCACAGGGGTTGGGAGTCCAGGAATCTGTTTTGTTTTAAAGAGCCCCAGAGGGTTTTCATCATCAGGGAAGTCTGGGTAATAACTTCTCTAGGCCTCTCAACACTGACCCACATTAGAACCATTCAAGGAGCTTCTAAGTAAGCAATGCAATGCTTATTTCTGAGGACCCCATTCCTCAAAATGGACTTGAGTGGTATTCTGCTGGTGATTCTAAGATCTGAGTTGGTGGTTAATAAAATGCATAAGAACCATGTGCTGGGGCTCGGGCATCTGTGCTTCCACTGGCACCCTGATCCAAGGAGATTCTGTCGCTAGTGGTATAGAAGCCCACGCTGAGACATGTTTTTTGTAGCCACATGAAACTTCCCACCCAGGCTTTGGCCAGGAGTTTTTTGTCTGGGATGGAATATCCCTTCTGGGGAACTCAACCTGGAGGTAGGAGAGCCTGGGTGGAGAGGTGTCTTGTTTCCTAATTTAATGTGAACTAGGTAATGTGTGTGCCTGAGCTAACTGTTCAAATTCCATACTGCCTTGGTTTCACAACAGTCCACTTTCTAGTTCTCAATTAGTTTCTTTGTTCAGATCTCCACCTGGTGGTGTTGACCAGGGTGTCACCTGAACCGGGGTGGAGCTACCTGCCCTCTGCTCCAGACCCAGGTGTTCACATGGACCAGCCAGGACTGAGCCAATGCATCACGGCCCCTGTAGCAGGGCCAGCCCTAGAGCAGGGCCTTGCCTTTCCCGAGTGACACAGGGGCCCACGTCATACACGTGCACAGCAGTGGAGAAAAAATGCAGGCAGGAAGTATTGAAGTCACACACACTAGAAGATTAATAGGGATGGGAAAGTAACAGACTTAATGGCCAACATGTCCAAACCCTTTTATGAGGAAATTCAGTCCAGAGAGGTTGGGCACCTGCCCAAGGTCACACAGCTCTAACTCTTTCCTGCATAAAAGAAAGTTGTGAGGTAGAAAGAGTCCTTGGACTTGGACATGTAATAGAACGTTAGCTTTATGACAAGATGGTAGGAACTGTGTCTTTTTCACTACTATGTCCCAGGCATAGCACCAAGCCCATAGTAAAAGGTGTTTGTTAATCAAATGAGTATTCGAATCTGGGGAATTGGGCTTTTAATTCATTTTCCGCTACTAAAACGGCTATGTGGGATTGTCCCAGGTTAGAGTTCAGCCAGATAGATGGAAGGGAAGTCTAGGAAATTGGAGAGACAAACACAGCAGACACAACATAGAGAAAAGAAAAAGAAAAAAGAAGAAAGAAAAGAACGGAGGTGTATTATCTCTCCGTGCTCAATTAGCAATTTTTAGTTAACAAGATGTTCTCATAGTGTTTAATCCTCCCAACTGTCTGGAAGCGGGTCGGTTTTTTTTCTCCACGCCCTGATTACCATCTGAAGTACGGTATATTTTATTTGTTTACCGTTTGTGCTATCTCATTAGAAGGCATATATTTTGTTTTGGCCACTCCCCTATCTCCTGGTTGGCACAGAGCCCAGCTTATGACTTATGAAGCTTTCCGTTCAACCAAGCCTTCTGGGGCCCTCTAGGTCCTGAGCGGCCTCAACTTGCAGAGTAGGAAACTGGCTCAGAGAGGTGAGGTTGCTGGTCCAAGGTCACACAGAGACGGTCTTCTGCCTACCATCCCCACCCCTACAGTTGCTAAAGGACACAGCCCCGTAAACCCGTGCACCATCTCCTTACTCCTGCCCTTCGCAAACCCGTTCCTCCGACCTCTTCTCCGTCCGCTGGCAGGTATGTGCATCCAGCCCGGATCCTTGAGCTCCGGTGTGATCTGTTATGCTAGCGGCTTTGGGAGACACGTGCTACCCGGGTGAATGAATCGCACATCCCCACCCCCGCGGACAACCAATCACAGGTGTCCGAGACCGGCCACTTCCGCCTATGGCGGGCCGCGGCCGGGACGAGAGGCCCACGTGGGGCTCTGTAGATGAGGGAGTGGGCGGCGGTGTGCCAGGGACGGGCTCTTCCAGCCTCTCCACCAATCCAGGGACCGCCGGGGACGCGAGGGGCGGGGCTGACGTGGGGCGCCAAGGCTTAAATGTGACGGGCAGGCGGGCGTAAGGAGGAGTTCTGAACGGGGGAGTGGTGAGTGACGGAGACCATTGTCCAATAACAGGAGGGGTTGGGCTGCTTGAGCCAATAGGAAGTCCCAAGGCGGGGCGTGGACCGCAGCAAGTTCGGTTGCGCGGAGACCGCAGCTGCTCCCTGTCACTGGAGCTAGCGTCTGTAGCGGCGGCGGCGACGACTTGCGGCGGCGGCGGCGAAGCGGTAAGTGTCCGCCGCGCTGCGCACCTTCCGCTTCCCGCGGCGGGTGGGAGCGGGTGGGCGTGCTGCGGCGCCGCCGCAGGGGACGCTTATATAAGGGTCGTGCGCGCCAAGGCGGCGCGGGCTTCGCGAGTGACGGCTGGAGGAGACAGCTGCGGGCGGTGCGCGAGGCCAGTTGCGCCGCCCCTCCCCTCCCCCTCCTGTGGGGGACGGTCGTGTGGGTCCATCCTCTCTCACACCCTCGCTCCCTCGTTCCGGGACCCCGTTGACCCCGGCCCGTCGCTCCGTGAGCATCTCTCCCTTGCGGGCACAGCCGGGCCTTGTCCATCCCGCGCCCCTGGCGACCGGCGGCGGCCTTATTCTGGCTTTCGGGCCCATTTTGCAGATGGAGAAACTGACGCCCGGAGCACGAAAATGCCTCGTGCTAGGTCCTTGAGGGAGGGTTCGAACCCGAGTCTGTCTGCATGGGGAGCCCAGGTCTCCGCATCATGCTGGCAGTTGCTCGGTTCTGAGGGGTCTCGCTGGAGTCTCGCGTAGGGTCCGCCTCCTCGTTACCCGGTGGAGTATTCTCGGTCCCATTTAGTTTCAGGTGAAGAAGCTCGAGGAGCCCAGCAGCAGGGATTCGCCCGCGGCTGCTCGGTTAGGAGATGGGGCTGGGCTCAGCTGCTACTTTCGCCGCTTTCAGCAGTTTACCGAGTGCACTCGCCGGGGGGCGGCGAGGAGTTTTGGACGCAGAAGCCTGGCTTTCCGGACCTGCCACGAAGGTCCCTCCCGGAATGACCTGCTCTGTGCACCTTGAGTCGTTTCATCTCGGGGGAGCTCGTTTCTCATCTCACTAACGCTGGGGTGAGGCCGGGTCCTAGGGCCCTGGCAGCTTTGAACTTAAACGCCTGGTGGCCTGTTCATTCTGTGAGAAAGTGTGCCGGGGTGTCTGATGCCCATTCTGCAGCTGGGAAAACCGAGTCTCAAGGAGGTGTCCGGACTGTAGTAGGCAGATCATAACCGGAGCTACCGAGTCTACTCGGAAGGCTTTGCCTTTTCTGTGGCTCCCTTACCCGCGGCTGCCATCAGCCCTGGCTTCCCCGCGTCACCCTTCCCCTGCCTGTGACGCCAGTCCTCATGCTGGGAGTGCATGTGCTCAGCATTTCTGCGAACCCCGAGATACAGCGGTTCTGTCTGCTTGCTCTCCATCTTAACTCTTGAGTTCTGACTCGCCTTCTTTCGCACACCTACCGTGTTCCGATCTCTAGACTGGGCGCCGAGAGAAGACGTGAGAGATGAAACAGATCCTTGTCCTAGAAATGCTGACAAACTGATTGAGGGAGAGAAAAAGAAATGGAACTTTTAGCAGCAAGTCGGTGTGTTTGTACAGAGCCCATGCGGGTGAGGTATGGCCCCTGGGAGGGCGTGGAAGAGGAAGTTGAGTAGAGGCCCACAAATCAGGCCAAACCGCATACTGAGGCCAGCGAGGGGAGAAGTGGACTGGCTGGGGGCTGGACAGGGATGGACTGGGGAAAGCTCTGTGGATGGGGTGAGTCGTGAGCTTCCTTTGATTCCACTGCAGCCGGCAGTGAAGAAGCGGTGATTGGATGTGAGGAGCCAAGTTTTTATTATGGGGGAGAGGTGAGTTTTAAGCGACTAGAACCTGCAAGAGCAGTGGTTCTCAACCTTGGCTGCACATTAGAATCACCTGGGAATCTTTTTAAAATGCTGATTTCTGGGCCACATCCTCCGGAAATTCTGTTTCTTTGTTATGGGGTGGGGCCACAACATTAGTAACAAAGAAACAGAATTTCCGGAGGATGAGGCCCAGAAATCAGGATTTTAAAAAGATTCCCAGGTGATTCTAATGTGCAGCCAAGGTTGAGAACCACTGTGCAAGAGGAAGGCTGAGGAAGGTGGACGGGGAACGGGGGAGAAGGAGCACTTCTCAGTTGGGTGTGAGGCCTCTACAGGAGGTGAGACAGGTGAGGGCACTTGCGAAGGTGCTGGTAAGGCAGACGTGAGGCTGGGTCCAAAGGCGCCAGGGCTCTTGGTTGGGCTCTGAGGGCCCAGCAGGAGGCCGGAGCAACAGGTTGTATCTGTCTGTGTTCTTTCTAGGAAACCACTTGTGAGCAGGCACCCTGTGCTTCTTAGTGGCTGCCCTGCCCTGAGGAAGGAGCTTTGCTCACCGAGGTTGTTCAATATTGATTTGTTGAATTAGGCTGTCATTCAGAGTTTCACAGTTTACCGCTAAGTCCCCTCTGTGCCTTATCTCTCTCTCCTGGAGCCGGCTCCAGCTTCATTGACCCTGTCTGTGCCGGGTCTCACCTTGAGGATCACCTACCCCTCAGGGAGGCTGGTCCTGGTAGCTGTAGCCTGGGTGGGTCCCCCTGCCTTGGACGTGCCAGTACAGGCCACTTGCCCTTTTGTCCTCCTCCTTGCTTTCTCTGGTCTCACTTCCAGGAGCCTAGTCCCGGGTCCTGTGCTAGATAGATCCAGCCTGTCCCGATCTGTGTAGCGCTCTTCCACATGAGCTGGGCGCCGTCCCCAGGTAAACGTTTCCCTTGAGGATTAGTGTGGGTCCTCTGGCTGCCTCCCAGTAGCATCTTCCTCTCTTCTGAACAGCCCCCTGCTCCCTATACCCAGAAAGCATGCTGTTTGTCATCCGTAGACATCCTTTCAGCTGTGGGGCATTGCGCCTGCTCCCTCCGATACCTCACCTGGGCCTGACTGACCTTCCCTTCACCTCTTTGTCTTAGCTGCCTCTAGTCTCAGCCGTGAATTCTTTGCTGAACTTCGAAAGGAGGAGGGCCTGATGGTGGGAGGTGGGAAATGACACAAAGCCCTTTCCTCTTACCTATTGAGTGAGAAGATATGATCCCACCTATTGGGCTTTTTCTTACCTTTGACCTAACAGGTATCCTCTTCTGTCTGCCTCAGTCCTCATGTGAGGCCCCCAAACTTGCTTCTTAGTGTTTGTCCCTCCTCTGCTCTTGTTCTCTGCAGGACTTTTCCCCTTACCTTATCCTATCAGAATTATTCTGCAGGCTTTCCTGCATTAAGCCTTGCCAAATCTATTCTGTTGGACATGGCTCCTCTCTTTTAATAATAATGATATGTAATGATTTATTATTCACAAAAGCCAACCTTTTATTATGTGGTGGCAGGGATCTTGCTAAGCCCCTTACATGTCTTTTTGGATTGACACAACAACCCTATAACAGAGGTACTGTTAGCTCCTCATTTAAAGGTGAGGAGCTATGGGTAGACTAAATCCCTCAGAATCTACACAGCTAGGAGACTGTGTGGCTGGGGTCCCTCCCAGGCCATCAGGCGGAGTCCCTACATGGGTCCCTCTCTACCTACTCTTTGGCATTTTGGGAGCAGAGCCTGTGTCCTCTGACATGGTGCCTATGGAAGGTATAAGCCCAATAAATATTTTATTGAATCGAGTACCCCAGACTTTCATTTTCAGCCTTGATGTAATCTATCAGGGCATCATGGATTCAGTTCCTTTGATGATTTGCTGGTCTGTGTCTCCATTTTGTTCTTTTTTTTTTTTTTTAAATATATTTTATTGATTTATTTTTATTTTTATTTTTTTACAGAGAGGAAGGGAGAGGGATAGAGAGTTAGAAACATTGATGAGAGAGAAACATCGATCAGCTGCCCCCTGCACACCCCCTACTGGGTATATGCCTGCAATCAAGGTACATGCCCTTGACCGGAATTGAACCTGGGACCCTTGAGTCCGCAGGCTGACACTCTATCCACTGAGCCAAACCGGTTAGGGCTCCATTTTGTTCTTGATTTACCAGTGACTAGAGCTGAGTGACAGGTGTGGCCTGTGAACTCCCCAAAGTGGTCACATCCCACCAATGTGGGCTGAGGAAATAGTCGGGAAAAATGGGAGGCCTATCAGCTCTCGGTCACATAAAACAAAAATTAATGTCAAGTGCATAGGGAGATAGGAAGTGGGCTCGGAGAGTCTAATCTGGAGGAGCGCTCAGCTCTGAAGGACTGGAGACAGCTCTGCAGAGAAAGTAGGCCTGGGGCAGAATGGAATTGGACAGGAAGAAAAAGTACTTCAGATAAAACAAAGTTTCTAGAACTTCTTGTTCTTGTGCAGTGAGTGCCAGAAAAGGGTTTTACTTAAATGCTTCTTACTAAGCACATTGGCTAAGGTCTGTGTTCCCCAGCAGGCTTGGTGCCAGGGCTGCGCTTGTGTGACCAGGAATCCTGTGAGATGAGTGTTGTGACTATTCCCATTTCACAGATGAGGAAACAGGCTTTGAGTGGTTACGGGAGTGGGTGGCAGAGCAGCAATGGTGGAGCCCAGGCGTTGGATAGCAGAGCTGGGGTGCTTTCCTGGTGCCCCCCCTCCCCCCCCCCACACACATCCACTCTCCTTGATGGAAGCAAAGTAACAGTCCTCTGGGTTCTGAATCTCTGTTCTTGCTACTCCTACGTGCTCTTGGAAGTGCTGCAGAAATGAGGGTAACACTTCTCTTTCTTTTACTTTAGATTGCGCCTGCCTCTTTGAGCTGACAAGACCCGAGGGTAAGTCCTGTGCCTGAATCCAGGTCGTGGGGTGGGTGGGTCTCCTTCAGGAGCAGCTATCCAGGTTAGCAGTCCGGGCACGTCAGCTATCAAGTGCGATACATAATAATGGCCAAGCTCTGATTTTTGGAAAATATAAGCAGTCCTTGTCTGTTCCCAGTCTTTCTTGGTTTTTACTGGAAAATGACATCTGGGTCCCTCGCTGGCCCCAGTTGGCAACTGGTCAGCTTCAGCAGGAAGCCCGACCTCTAGAAGGGCGTGACTTGGGACGCGGGTCATGGGGAGGGTGGCGAGGCTCCTCAGGACCCGAGGAAGCATCTTAGGGCCGGGCAGTCTGCGCAGACCCCTTGAGTCAGCATGGAAAGCAGGTGCTGGTGGTGAGGGACTCTGTCAGCTGGCTGTGAAAACACTGGGCACGCGTTCACACTGACCTCAGTCTGCCGTCACAGTGACGGGGGAGAGGTGGACTTGTCCCTTCTTTCTCTCGCGGAGTGCTCAGGCAGCATCGCCCGTGTGACCGCCTGCTTTCCAGGTTTCTCCTCACACAGCTTCCCCCGATGCACGGAGCCGGGTGCATCTCCTCTGCTGCAAACCAGGGCCCTCTGGCCGGGGTCCACCTGACGATCCAGTTCTGTCTCCTGTGCTGGCCCCAGGGAACATTCCAGCCAGCTCTCCGACTAGCATCGCCCCACCTCCACCCTGCTGCCCGCTGCCCTGGGGACTTTGTTGCTCAAGGACAGCTCTCCCCAGAGTCGAGTTCAGGGCTCAGGGTGAAGATTTCTTTGGGGACTTTTTCTTGGGTTTCTACCCAGAGTAGCTGTTTTCCTCAGGAGACACTTCCTGACCCAGGAGTTGTTCTCCTTTCTGAGATGTCCCCGCAGCTCCCTCTTGGGCCAGCAGCAGCCTCAATTGAGTTTGCCCTATTCTCTCTGCTTATCTCATCCTCCTGGTCTCCATTGATAGAGTTGAATGTTATTGCTCTTCCTTCCATCCCTGCGAGGAGAGGTGGGGAGTTGGGTGAAGGTCTCTAACCACCGATCTTATGGAGCTGAGAAACAGGGATCCGGATCCGGAGAAGGCTGATTAGCAGAATTCAGTATTCGGATCCTTACCCCCTTGTGTGTCTTCCACCAAATCCATCAGTAGGAAGGGAAAATTGGTGGCGAGAAGGGCTGCCTTCTCCCAGGTCATCTAACTTGTTAAAGTTTGTTTGGTCTTCAGTCTCTAAGTCCCTGCTGAGTCTTGGAGTTTTGCTTAGTTACCACACTAAGACCCTCTGGTGGAAGGTTCTGCTCTGCCCTCCTCCTTTGCTATATCTCCTTGGTGATTCTGAATGTGGGCTTTTTGTTTTTTAATCCTTACCTAAGGAGTGAGGATATTTTTTCCATTGATTCTCAGAGAGTGGAAGGGAGAGGGCAGGGAGAGAGAAAAGAGAGAGAAACATCGATGTGAAAGAAACTTTGATTGGTTGCTTCTTGCACACTTACCCTGACAGGGAGTGGGGATTGAACTTGCAACCCAGGTTCATGTTCTTGACTGGGGATCAAACCTGCGGACCCTCGGGTGCACAGGCTGACACTCTAACCACTAAGCCATGGGGGCCAGGGTGGGCTTTTTTTGGATGGTAGAGCTTATTTTTTTAAATATTATGCGAGAAGGTATAACCCAGGTCATCCCAGCATCCTGTCATTGCTGTTGTCCCTTACTCCTTATCTTTCTTACAGGCCAGAGAAGGGGGTAGGGAGTAGGGAATTCAAAGCTGCTCTTAAGTACATTTCCATCAGCTGTGTGTGAAATGGGGCCAGTCTCCATGTGTAGCAGCTCCTCTCCTGATGACATCCATCCCTGGCTGAAACCTCTGGGAAAATTCCGTGATCTGGCTCTGCTGAGTCATGCTTAGTCTCTGAGAATATGTCATCTTTTGTATGTCTGTCATTGGCCAGCTCAGGGTCTGGGAAAGGCTGCAGTTACTACGGAGTGCTATCATGCTGCTAATCTCTTATATTTGTCCACCACTGTATGCTTCTCCTAGTGCTCTTGCTAACTGATGTGCTGTTTATCAATATTAAATTTTATTAATATTATTAAATCATCCTATATAATAAAACCCTAATATGCAAATTGACTGAACGGGGGAATGACCAGTCGCTATGACGTGCACTGACCATCAGGGGGCAGACACTCGACACAGGGAGGTAACTGGCGAAGGTGATTGGGCAGCGGGGCCAGCCAGTGAGTGCCCCGCTGGTTGCCTCCAGTCGCCTCCTGCAAACCAGCAGTCGGACATCCCCCAAGGGCACAGGCCAGGCTGAGGGACTCCCCCCACCCCTGCACACATTTCATGCACCGGGCCTCTAGTTAATAATAAATGTATTACTTATTCTGGAAAACATTCCTTTCTTATGATGAGGAAACAGATTCAGAGAGATTGACTTGATGAATTTCAGGTGAGTGACATGTTTGGGCAGGGGTTTTTTTTTTTGTCACCACACCCCATCCCTACCCCTGGGTTTTTGTGTAATGCAAAGATTATTCAGAAGTTTCTTTGGATGAAAAAAAAATTGGTTTTCAGTTTGTTAAAGTTAAAATCTAGTTCTTAATGGCTAGTCTTCCAAAGTTTTGCTTCTAAGTGTAACCTACAATCTTTCTGTTCTATTTATGATTTTAGAAAATTTT